CCCGGTCCCCGCCGGCTGCCGAGCGGGGGGGCGCGGAGGAGCCGCAGCGATGTCCGGCCAGAGCCTGACGGACCGGATCACCGCCGCCCAGCACAGTGTCACCGGCTCCGCGGTCTCCAAGACAGTATGCAAGGCCACGACCCACGAGATCATGGGCCCCAAGAAGAAGCACCTGGACTGTGAGTGCAGCCCCGCGCCCCCCTCGCCGCGCGGCCCGCGTCCTTCCCGGTCTCTCTCCGGCAGCCTCCCCTGCCTGCGCTGTGCCGGCGCGGCGGCTCCTTTGCTCCCGTCGCGCCTGCCTTCATGGCCTCCGTTTCTCTGTCCCCGTCTGAACGGCTGTGGCAGGCCAGCCGCTGTCCTCCCGGACCTGGGGACCCCCGCCTCCCCGCGCGCTGCAGCGCCGAGCCCATCGCCGGCCCGCCCGCTCCCCGCAAAGCTGCCCGCCCTCTGCCTCCGTCCGGTCGGCTGCAGCCTCCGTGCTCGCCTCTGCCGGCCCCCGGCCCCGTGCCGCCTCGATGCCCTCGCCGGGGCTCTCCCGCACTCATCGCCCCATTGTCTCCCCCTTTCGGGGTTCGGTGGTCGCCGGATTCCGTGGACCCGGGTCCTCCTTACTTGGCAGCCTTTGAAGGGGCTCCCACTTCCTTTGCTCTGCTGGAGTCTTCCCCCTACCCAGCCCTGCTTTCTCTTCCATCTTTCCTCCTCCTTCAGGGTTACCTTCCTTGGCTTCTGCAGTTGCAGTTCTTTCAATCCATTTGCTTTTCACTGTCATGCCTATCACCCGACTTTTATCTGAATTACCATCTTTGTGAGGAGTAAAAAAGTCGAAGGATTCAAGTTGGTGTAGGGCAAGCTCTCTGAAAGTTTGATGTCTTTATTTGCTCCCGGTGGAATTTAGTCATTGTATTGCCCATGATTGAGACTGAAGTGAGTTGTGAATGTCAGCATCCATCACCTTTCAAAAAATTCAAGTACGGATATGGAAAAAAAGACTTTGCTGATACTGGTGCGGTAACACTCCAGTTCCTGGAGTGTTATCCTTGACGGTTTGAACTTAGAAGCGTGTGTGTGAAACGTGGACGGTTGCGGTTCAAAATGGTTTAATAAACTTGCCTATATAGATCTGTTAAAAACAGTAATAAAAGGATAGTTGATGCTTCAGTTGGGATACATTTAAATTTTGCTGATTCTCTTTTGGGGAACTAGCTTTTCTTACAGGGCATTCTATTACTCCATTCGCTAACTTAGATACAATTAGTGGAACTCCTCCCAATTTTTTTCGAACCTGGAAGCCACCTCCTTTTTCTTTAAGCTCCTTTACCTCAGGGTACAAAGCTCGGTGGATCACTCAACCCTTGAGTCAGAGGAGCTTTGACCTGAAACTTTTCAGGGAAAAGTAGGGAGATAGTCACAGTTGTAAGTTCCCTTTTTAACTGACTACTGGACACATTAGCCCAACTGACTTTCATCATACAAGAAAGTTATTTGGCTTTACTGTGAAGCAAGAGCCAGCATGTTCTCAAAGGGAATTCACTGTCAGGAGTCCTGTTTTGATTTCTCACTTGGACTTTGGCTCTATAAGGGTTGCGCTTTAAAAACAAGGTACAAAATGAGTTCTTGCAAGATACTTTGCTCCTTAAAAAAAAAGATACTTTATCATGAAGTGCTGTTAGAATAATGAGAATAAATTATTACCACGGACAAACCTATCATTCGTTGTGATTTGTTCCTTTGCTGTGGAATAGTTCTATAAAAATCATTAGTTTGGTTCTCTGTGCTAGTCAGGCAAGCTCCTTTTTAGGATCAGTCTTTGCCCGTTTAGAGTATGGGGAATATATTTACATAGTGACACTCTTAGAAACAGAAAGTGCTTTAAAATGCATCGTGAAGCCATAAGTGATTTGTGTGTGTTTGTGTGTCTTTTTGAGACAGGGTCTCGCTATGCAGTTCAGGCTGGCCTTGAGCTCACTTTGTAGCCCAGGCTGGTCTCGAACTTGTAAGGATCCTCCTGCCTCAGCCTCCCAAGTGCTGGGATTACAGGCTTACAGGCGTGCGCCACCACGCCCTGCCATAAGTGATTTTTAAATTATCTAGTGTTTAGAGTAGACGTTTCAACTGTTGACATCCCTTCAAAAGATTACTTGGTTTGTCCTACTAATTTTAGTTTGCCTGGACACTGTATTTTGGGGGGCGGGGAAGCGTTGAAGGGGAAGAAGACTTGTGTCTTTATGAACGATTTTTCTCTTCTCGCAAATGGTGAATTATAACAATTGATGCAGCTTTTAAGTTTTTATAAAGGTTATATGTTCAAATGTAGCAGTGATTCTTTTGACATTTCTGCAAAGTGTAGAAAATAGGTTGGCTAAAGTTAGAAGAGTGGTATTTGCTTGGTAATTTTATAAATGCTAATGGCTTTTTCTTACAATAGCTGCTACTGCAGATCCTAACTGGGCTTAAGTTTTGAGGATAATCTCATATTTGTAGGTCTTTTTATTTATCACTGCTGTATATTCTACATTGGTAAGATATATTAGGGGTATATTAGACCTTGGATGTGCTGGTAATGTTTGATCTTAAAAAACCAGTATGAGTAAGATGCCTCCATTTCTTTTCAGTGATACTTTAAAATACAGTTGCCTTTGTTGTTTAAAATGCCCTTAAAACTAGTTCTCACTAAAGAAATAAATTTAAAGTTGGACCAATGAATGATTTACTAAACACTTTGTTTTGCTCAACACCTTAACATGCTTTGAGAAAATTGAAGACTTCCACAGTTCTGGGTGTTGACATCTTTATCTTTAAGCTTTAATACAGAAATATGTCATTTCAAGTAATTTTTTCTCTTTGATTTTGCCTAACAGTGAAAGCTTAGTTCTTGTGAACCAAATAAAAAAAAATTCAACTTAAAAATGTATATTTAGCAAAACATTGTTAGAATTACTGTTTTCCCTTATAAGCTCTTAGACTGTGGAGGTAGTTTCTGTGCACTTCCTTGCCAGGATCTTTCCATATTAGGAAGTGGGTATTATAATCCATGAATTATGGCTTAATTTATGCACTACGTATGTTGAAGAAAGGTCTTTTGTTTGCTTATTAGAATTAGGGTAGAACATTAACAAGTGTCCTTACTGTGAAAAGAATCGTTAAACTTGAAACACTGTATAAAATAAACATGATTTCTACTTAATTTCAGGCTTCTAATGGCTATCCATAATTAAGATACAAAATAGCATTTATATGTGAAGGACTTCAATTTTTCAGGCATGGTATCCTCCCTATAAGTGGCAAAATCTATACATGCTCAAGTCTCTTATTTAAAAATGGCATAGTATTTGCATATGTTACTTGCTCCCGTACATTTTAAATCAATTCTAGGTTACTTATTCCTGAAATAATGTAAATGCTATCTAAATAGTTGTGTTGTTAAGGAAATAATGACAAGAATAATGATATACATGTACATTATAGACAGTTATTTTTCCCTAAATATTTTGATCTAAGGTTGGTTAAATTCAAAGATGTGGAACTCGTGGAAATAGGGACAACTGTAGTAATGTATTGTAGAAGAGAAACCCTAAAGAGAATTGATATTCATCCATTTTTGTAGCTATCCTATTTGTAATTAGCAAATGCGTTCTAAAACATCTTTGCAATTATATTTTATTGGTGGGCTCACTTAATAAATGCTTAATGTTAGACATTGAGCATCTATGCTTTTTATTTTTACTGTGTATTTTATATCTTTGGGTATATTTCAAGTGTCTTTGAATCTAGTGGCAGGTGAGAAATACTTTACGAGGATTTGACTACTTTCTGTTCTATGATTTGTAAAGCACTTGTACGATATATTTGATGTTTTAAAAATACACTAATTAAAAATTATTTTAATCATGAGAATTGCTTTAAATAAAATTTATTTTGATCTTGATCATCATTTAGAATCCTTAATATGAAAGTTCACCTAATACAGTATACAGAAAGTTGCCTGTGTCTATTTTCTTCAAAGAGCTGAATTTCACCATTTCTCAAAATCCAAGTAGTAAGAAAAATAAATTTAAAAGCTTCTTGGCAAGAGGTTAGAACCCTACTAAGAAGTAGCATTAAAGAGTTTTAAAGTAAAGGCTTAGTATTTGCTTTTCCTGTTCTTTTGGTGGCTAAAGTGGCATTTCCGTTACTTTGTGTTCTTTCTCAGTATGTTCCCAGTTGAACTGCTTTATACATTTCTCTAGAGAATCAAAAGTTTGAATTTGACCTTTTAGAATTTGTATGTTCATTGTGTATACTGTTCCTTTCAGGGAGAATTGTTCAGGCAGTTTGATTTGACTAATGATAGTCATTTAAAAGGGAGACCCCTGCCACCTCACCCCCAGTTCTGGGGGTAGCACTCAGGAGGGCTCTAACACTGAGCTACGCCCGGCCCCGCCCTGCCCTACCCCCCCATAAGTTTTTTTGAGGCAGTTTCTTCTTAAGTTGCCCAGGCCGGACTTGAAGTTCTGATCTTCCTCTCTCTCAAGAATCTCAATGAACGTAAACCTTTACACTTTTAAAAATTATAGTGAGAGTGGTGATTTGCCAGATTATTAAAAGTGTTAAGGATTTCTCAATCGTACTAGTATGTAGGTAGCAGTGGGCATTTTCTTTGTGCATATGCCTAGGTTTGTTTTTTTTTCCAGTGCTAAGAGATTGAACCTAGGACCCCTGGCTTGCTTGACAAGTGCTCTTAAACTGAGCTATAACCCCAGCTCATACTTTAAACAAATACACGTTTATGCTTATTCTGTGCTGAATACCTTACAGAGAGCACTTTACATTTGTTAACTAGTTTATTCCATTTAATAGCATTTGAGAGGCTCTTATTTCCACAAGTTCACACAGTCAGAAAAGAGGTAAACTGGGATTTGAACCCAAGTAGTCTAGCATTAGAGTTTGTGCTATAATCTCAGTGTATCTTTTTATATAATACCTTTCTATCCTAGAAAATAAATAATTTCGAAGTTTTATATATTTAATTTTATTTATTTATTTATTTTTTCAGGACTAGGTCTCACTATGTAGTCCACACTGATCTTCAACTCACTGTGTAGCCCGGGCTGGCCTCTAACTCATGGCAATCATCCTGCCTCAGCGTTCTCAGTGTGAGGTTACATGTGTGTACCACTACACTCAGCAAGAAAATGTGTTT